CTTACTGCTCTTGTACCTCACCCTAGAAGTGCGAGGTTACACATGCATAATACAGCATAGATGTAGAGGAACGAATAAACACTACAGTTACCAGAGGGCATGACCAGATAGGACATCCCATTGGAAGAGACAGTACTATTGTCGAGATAAGAAGGCGATATTGGATAGTATGAACTCGGGATGGTGTGCTAGATTGGGAAAGGATATGTGCAAAGTGTGCAATGAAGAAAGCCAAACCTGTCACCCAAATGATGGCGCCACTCCCGAAGCAACCATTGAGGGCATTTGCAAAATGCGGCTTCAACTTTTCTGGCCCATATTTGACCATCCAGAAACGAGATGTAACCAGAGCCAAACGTTACCTAGCTGTATTCACTTGCTTACAAGTTAGAGCCATACATCTTTAACCAGTCTACAGTATGGATACGGATGGATTTTTGCTCGCATTTTCCCATATGACCCGTCGGAAGTCGGTCCCTGTAGAGACGCTCACAGATAATGGAAGCAATTTTGTCACCGGCGAGAAAGTCAAGACAGTTGGTAGAAGCCATCGACTGGGAGGAATCCAAAGAGGGACTTGGATTCCAGAACACTGATGGTATCAAGTAAAACTTCAATCCAGCGGCCTCACCTCATTTTTGCGGGTGTATTCGAGATCGTGGTAAAAGCTGCAGAGGGCGTTAAAGGTTGTTATCGGAAATGCCGACATAAACAGCAAAGAATTTCATACGTTTGAAGTATAGACCGCAAGCATAGGTAAGCAGCCAAAACTGCTTTAGTTTTCATGTTTTGTGCCTCCCCATCGGCATCTACATCAAATTCTACATAAAGATAAAGAAAAATATACTGAAAACGATTGCACAACTCGTCAGTGGGAAAAAGTGCACACTACTTAGTTATTCAGTGTGTATACAGCAAAAACTTGAGGAATTTTCTGAATCATCAGACGACATGTACACTGCCATGTTTACACCGGAAGCTAAGTGCATCTACCAAAGCATGTGATTGGCTAACAATTGTAATGCACTGTGATCCTTACTTGAGAGATGCACAGTGATTGGACGATATCTATGGATGCAAATCGATATTTTTCTATGGTTTTTATCGTTTTTTGAGCTTGTGTGCACTTTTGCTGATTGACGAGTCATCAATATCATATTGAAATATATTTAAAAACAATTTCCACTACTTAAGAAGTAGATGTGCGAGGGGGGTCACAAAAGTAACGAATTTTGCCCCTCGCCCGGCGGTCTAGTAGAGGCAGGACTGATAAACTCAAGGCCTCTTACTCTTCCCAGCACAGATGCTAACGATGACCTGCCATTGACACCTAACCATTTTCTACATGTGCTGCTGGGAGGACAGTTGGTTCCACCGTCCATTAGACAAAGAAGAGAGAGTCAATCTAGTTAATCAGTCCAGGAACTGCTTAGACACTACTGGAGAATGCTGGCAGCAGTTACCGTTGTTGCACAACTGTAAAAAATTGTTGTAACCAGGACCGAATCTCAAGAAAGACGATGTTGTGATGGTGACGACAAACTACCACGAGGAAAATGGCAGCTGGGACCTATTCTTGAAATTTACCCCGGAGCAGACGGATTAGTTAGTACGGCGAAAGTGAAGATGACAACTGCAGCGTTCATTCGTCCAGTGAACCGTCTTTGCCCTGTGGAATTACCAGAGACCTAGAATTATTGTCGTGAACTGTTCCAGAGACTGTTAGAAAAGACCGTTTTCATGCACTCTGCATTGTAACAGACTCGGTTGAATTTTGCCAGTGAGTCAGTTGAAGAAGAGTTTGAATTAGCTGTTGGAAGGTTAAAATTCATGAGAGTTGGTAAAGGGAGTTTCACCAAGAGGAAGGAATTGTTGGAGCAATTTATTATATTCATTGTTCTTCAGTGTACAATAAATATAGTGTATTACCTTTACAATAGATGGCGAGATGTGTTCGGCAGATGTTTTGACCCGTGTGCGCTGGAAGTCGAGAGGGGACAGAACTTTGACATCCATGCTGTTTGTTTAAAATAAAAATCTCCAGTCCAGATGAACAATTTGATTTTTATCCCTTTTATTAAAGAATCTCTGCAACCGACAGCTCTAGAGAGGCAACACTTGTGTATAAATAGCACTTTTGCCAGTTCACTTTATGTGAGTGGCAATTATGTGGGAAACCCACTTATATGAATATAGTTGATAGCTGCTTATAAAAAACACTTGCGATTTTCGAGGAGTGCCCACATACATATAGTTGATGGTACAGTCAAAGGTGAATATAATGGCAATTCAAGTTGAACGCCAAACGTGCCCTTTATAACTTCGTGGTCATTCATTCTACGAACAAAGGTGACAATAAATGATGTATAATATCACAATGTATTTTCAGTAGTACCATAACAATTTGTGTGCCTTTGTATCACTAGTTCCCTGCTTGGGTGAAGAGTGGTGGGGAAAGGGGGTGTAAGAGGGAGAGGAAGAAAGTGGCCAAAAGCAGAAGGGTTGGAAGAGGGAAAGGTGAGAAACGTGGGTGAAAAGGTAAAGGTAGAGGGGCTGTGTGAATGAGTAGAGGGGGAGGATTAAGTTGAGGATGGAGATTAAAATCAGAGAAAGTGGATAGGGAAAAAGGAAATGGGGTAGGGAGCAGGGGGAGAAGGGCTCTAGTAGTAAGAGATAATGTGGATTAAAGGCAGAAGGTCGGGGATGAAGGTGGTATATACATTTGGTCGTGTTTGGTGAGTTTTGTATACAAGGTAGATGTTACATAGTGAGTAATGACAACTACTACGGACATGCCTAGGTTATTCTGCAGTAAGTGGTGCAGTAATTTAACACGTCAGCGTATGTGCAGATAGTTGTTTGCAGTAGAAGTGCGGTGTTTGAATGCTCTATCAGGAGTAAGTTCATTGACTTTTGCAGGGTGACATCGCAGGGCATGTGCGTGAGTTTATCTATATTTTATAATCGGTTATCCATCTTTGAAATGCAACTTTGGTATCGAATTAGTTGATCACTTCAGCTTATTTCAAAATTACACTGCGATGAATGATAGAGGGTAGAATGTAGAGATGAATAAAGATGAGAAAGTACAGTGTACAGAACAGAACGGTTCTAGATACCCTTGGAGGCTTGGACACATCAAGAGAACTTCGATATGGCTGTATAAGACACAATCAGACAATGACAAGAAGTCTTGAAGTCATTTCCAGAATGACGAACTTTAAATGGTCCAATACAAATTGCTTCATTGACGAATAATCTATACCAGCATCGTTAGCAGTAATCATCACACTGTCAACCAAGCCACTAAACGGCTTTTGCGTGGGCTACACAATGTTTAGCTACCACCAATGACTCACAGCTAGAGCCAGCAGAGCTTGTGTACACTGGATGATGAGTAAAGACGTGAGAAGACTGAAATTCAAGAAAAAGTGGTTGCAAAAGGGATACAAAAACAGTGGCCATGTGCCGTGATGAGTAGCTGGCTGCTCTGAATCCAGTATTTTTCTGTCAGGCATTTTTATGGATGCAATCAGGGATAATCTCGAAAACACTCAATTTAAAGGGTACATAGTGGAAAGAAGATGTAATTTTAAGCGAGGGATTTGCCATGTTTTTACCAACCGTTTTCATATATTCTCAACCGTTCAGATACTTACCAGTACTTCTTGCATAACACCAACTGTTCATAGTAAGGCTAACATGGCATAGAGCACTCGCACAGCATTCTTTCCACCATTACATGCAGCGATCTACATTTCAAATTAGACTGTTTACATATCAGAAATGCTGTTACAGTTGTTTTGAACCACTGATGCTATGTACGTTTGTGTACATAGAGATGATATTAGTAGGCGGCGAACCGGAGCTTGAGACAATTGACTTATTTTGTCATGATATTTATAACAGCAGGACTTTTTTAAAGTTTGTTGGTGGTAACTGGCCACAGATAGGTTGCAGTGAGCATTAGAAGTAACAATTGTACATACATTGGTCAATTCTAAACACAGTCATTGAATTATCGCAGAATGTAGAAAATTGCGAATTTCTCCGTTGTTAGTAATGCTGCATTGGTGAATTTTTCAAAAACTATTTCTCGAAACTTACAACTCCGATTCCAAACATTTTTGTTCCGTTTTAATGCTAGCATATTAGTGGAGTAAATGATCACTGGAATTTTTATGAAATATTGTATTTTACAAGTTATGGCTCTTTATTTACGAAATTGTTGTTTTAAAAAACATTACAAATATTTTTTTGCATCTTTTTAACTTATTTCCTATATTAAAACATTTAAACAAAATTCCAGAGACCATTTACTAGTTCATACTATGAACAACTTATGGCTAATGGTTACAATTTTTGCTGTCACGTAATTAGTGATTAAGTTTTTGTAAATATTTTCATTGTAAGCGAAGAGAGATCTCTTTTATTAAATAGATAGCATATATGAGTTTGATTGAATTTGAAGAGCAGTCATGATTTTTTGCTGCACTTTACAGAGGTAGCTTTCCGTAACCCTGACTGTATCGTTAAACCTAGTGCGTGATTTATGCTCTCGCGAGACGAGAAAGCTGTCTCTACACAACGTTAGTTGCATTTGTATACATTTCGAGATAGGTACCAGTCTATAAATATTTGCATCACATACGTGCACTTGTTCCGTGGGACCATTTGAACATTCCATTATCGCGAAGTTGAAGACAGTGGGCACACGTTTGCTGTTCATTTGCTGTTGTATAGCCTATAACAGCACAAAATTGTGGTGATTATTGTATCGGAGTAATCAGTAAAAAGTATGCTAATAGTTGACTTTTCCTAGACCAACTTTGTCTACACTTATGCAGGGGGGGGGAAGAGGAAGAGGAAGAGTGAGACAGATAGACAGAGAGAAAGAGAGAGAGAGGGGGAGAGAGTGAGCAATATCGAGAGAGAAAGAGAGAGAGAGAGAGAGAGAGAGAGAGAGAGAGAGAGAGAGAGAGAGAAAGAAAGAGACAGAGAGAGATACGCACACACACACACACATATATATATACATATGTACACACACAGACAGACACATCCCACAGAACATTACCTATTAACCTATTAACCACGTGCAAGACTTGGTAAATATAAACCACTCTTTGACCAAGCCCTCAATGAAAATGTATCCACCATGAGTTCAGCGGGTGGGGGAGGAGGTGATCACCACAAATGGTCAGACATTGGTTTAACCTTAACCAGTGATCTTATTAATGGAAATAAATCACATCCTGCATGGGTCATGTCTCTCCACAGTCACTCTTGCAAGCTAGGACATGCAATATATAGGTAGTTAAGGCCTGCATGTGTTGTGCCATATGAAAACGTGTCTGCCAGTTTGATGCTGCAAACTTCTTCAAAGGCATTGGCCAGAGGGTGCCAGCAGCGCATCCCAATCACATCATGTTGTCGTTGTGCTCCTGCGAATCCGATGTGACATTCTGATTTGTCTGGTCGTTCTCATACTCGACAAAATCATCGAAGAGGCTTGGCCATGCCTCTGTGTCGTCATAGCAGCTGAGGTCATCACCAACGGCCTCAGTGAAGTTCAAGAACATGTGCCACGTGTCCTTCGGGATGCAGCGGATGTGGGGATGCCGCTCGAGGAATGCGAGCCAGCGCTTGAGGATGCGTGGCTCACGTTGGGAGAACGCAAGCCTCCACAGTGAGACCGCGATGTCTGTTGGCAACACACGCTGACCGACGTCGGCATCGAGGCCAAACTTGAACGTCCAGCGGTAGAGGTCCTTGAATGCGTCTGCATCCCTGACCTCGTCAAGCATGTCTGGAAAGCGGTCGCGTATACCACGCACCGAGTCGACCCGCAGCCGCCGGCAGCCGCTTGCAAACTCGCTGCGCGTAAAGCGGCACATCGTTGCCGCCTGAAACTTCCACGCGAGCACGAGCACGCGAAACTCCTCCGGCTGCACGCCAAGGTCGCGGCACAGCCGCTCAACGCCCTCAGAGAGGATAGCATCTTCGTGCGGGTCCCGGTAGCGCTCGTAAATCGCCGCAATGCGTGCCTCAGACATATCGCGTGTCACTATGGCCTTTTTTCCACCGTCGCCGCTACGGTGGATTGGCGGGATGCGTGGGTAGGGGAACATTCTCTGCTTGTCGCCACCAAGGGGCGCGTTGCCTGTTCCATTCGTATACGTGTCGCCCTGCTGCGTGAGTTTTGTTGACTGCTGCGGCTGAAACTGCAGCACAGTCGTCGATGGAAGGCTGGACTGGGACACACTAGTCACACCTGTGGGAGATGTATGACGACAGCCTTCCGTTACATCAGTGTCGGCACAACAGGAAAGGCACTTCCCCATTGGCCTGGGCAGCGGGTCCCGGCACCAGCAGCCTGCCCTCCAACACTCACGCTTGCCTGCTGTGCTCTACCTGTAATGCAGACCAACACATTGAGTGAACATGTACATAATAGATCATTTTACTAAGAATACCCCCAGATTTGTCCCCCGTTAGGAATTTCATGGATGCAGTTAAGCAACTTCAGGAATTAATCAGATTTAAGCTTGAAAAACCCCATGATGTTCAATAAATGTTGCAGAGAAATTGTCTACTATGGCTCTGGATTACCTGATAGAGGGCTCAAGTAGCAAATAAACTGAACCCTTTTTGTACACCGGTTGTGCACAGGTTCTAACCAAAAACAACCATTAAAGCACGTTGACACACAGCAGTCACATAGGTCATGAGTTATGTAATCTTAAAGTAGTTTAACATGTATGTTCCTGCATTTTTACCTGATTTTCCACTTCAAATTTTCACATGAATAAAAACTAAAATCTATATATATGTTCTTCAGCTTTTTTCGCACCTTTACTATTCGCCTATCTTGCACTGAAATCAGTTAATAGCTATTTACTGTCATATTGCTGTATATTGTCTTCAAACATGGTGTTGATTCGGAGGCTTTTTGGCATGTTGTCACATCTATGGAAGAGTATTTTGTGGAGCGATACTAGCAACAACTGCTCCAATCTTCTGCAAGGACGCTGGCAGGAATTGTAACATTTTGGTCTCGCAAGCGAGAAATATCATCAACCACTTATTTCCTTAGTCTACAGTGTAGTAAGACATGTATTCACCTGAGAACACAGTGCAATTGTATGCATATGGTACATGCATACTAAGTGTTTAGGGCATTGGGAGTCTCAAATCCCTGCCGAGTTGCACGAGAAAACCGATTTCGGTATAAGATAGGCGAATAATAAAGATATGAAATAAGCTCAAGAACGTATACACTTTTTATTCACGCCAAAATTTGAAGTGAAAAATCGGTAAACATGCAGGAAAAATACATGTCAAACTTCTTTGAGAAAATTTTAAAATTTTCGCACATCCCCCGCGCATTTCATGTTTGGATGTAAACAATAAAGTATCACTGGTAGTTAACAAACGATCAGTGTACTGTTTTAAAATAATATTAATATAATATTAATATAATATTAATATAAGAAGATTTAGGTAATATAGCATGTTGAACTAGAAAGGGCTACATGTATCCCTCGTGTTCTCCCCAAGATGTGTAAGTATACGAAGTTTGGTCACGCTAGGTCAATTACGGGCCGAGTTATAGAGCGGAAGGGAAATATGATGAAGGTCAAGGTCAAGGTCAATGTCAAATAAAGGTTGCAGTGACCTGGTTTCGGTATGCGACACACCTTCTCCCCAAGATGTATAAGGCCAAACAAAAAAATACTTTGGTTCGGGTCACATGGATTGTGAAAATTAGGGTAGGTAGGTAGGTATATATTTTTTTCCCCTGCAAAAACATGGGTAGGCAGGAATATAATTTTTTTTCCACAAGTTAAATATAGGAATATAATTTGAACGAGCGAGTAACCGAAGTGTGGCGCAGCGCGTTCCACAGCGTGTGCGCATGCAAAACGCATCGATCTGTGGCGTGTGGAAAATATCACACGTGTTTGATATTTTCTTCCACGTGTGGAAGATTGAACAATGTCTGCAGAGTGGCTGTGTAAAGTTCCACACCGTCTCTGTGTAACCGACCAATAGCAGGAGGTCAAGCGAGTCACGTGATCTTAACTTGCGGTTGCAGCGCGGCATTGATTGATGTACAGGGGGGTGGGGCATTGTTTAAGTCGCGTTCATTGAATATGTAGGGGGTGACCACCGCTAGGATGAGCCTGAGGGCGACAGTAAAACTCTTTCTTGGAATTGTGAAAAAGCTGCAAAAGGGTTGTAGCCTGCTTTGCCACTCAATTACATAATTTAACCCATGCATCAGGTGCCGTTTTGTGCAGCGACTATTATACTTGGCAGTAATTAATTGGTATATGTGTAATAATATTGTTAGTCCAACAGAGGGGGTTGGCTAGCCCCCCCCCCCCCCTAAATCCACCACTACACACGCGCACGCACGCACGCACACACACAGAGAGCAACGTAAAAACAACGTCGAAATGTCAACGTTCAAACACGTTCAAGTGTAGAGACGGTGTGGAACTTTACACAGCCACTCCGCAGACGCTGTTCAATCTTCCACACGTGGAAGGAAATATCAAACACGTGTAATATTTTCCACACGCCACAGATCGATGCATTTTGCATGCGCACACGCTGTGGAACGCGCTGCGCCATCGTCCACGTGGCGCAGCGCGTTCCACAGTGTGTGCGGCAACGGCTCTGCGGCCGCGTATAGCACGATAGCATGCGTATACTATATAGTACGCGATCGATCGCGTACTTCAAAGCCGGCCGCCGCACCATACGACCTTCAGACTCTGTTTATGAAGTAGCCGGCCCAGGCTATAATACGGCTGTTTCACGTTGTAGGAAAAATATTTTGGAACTCTCTTTAGGTAAATAAAATGAGAAGAGTCGGATATTTGAATATGTATGATCGGCAGGCGGTATCTTTGAATTATATTTTTTCTTGAAACCCTCTAAAAGAAACCGCAGTCGCACATTTTTCACTTCAAGGTAATTTTTTGGTCGGCCTAAGTATACCAAGTTTGGTCGCGCTAGGTCAATTAGGGGCCGAGTTATAGAGTGGAAGGGAAATATGATCAAGGTCAAGGTCAAGGTCAAATAAAAGCCGCAGTGACCTGGTTTTTGTACGCGACACAGATTCTCCCCTAGATGTGTAAGTATACCAAGTTTGGTAGCGCAGCGTGAGAAACTAGCGGTCGCCCAGTCGCCAGTGGCGATTAGAAAATCGACCGGGCGACTGCTTGATCGTGTCAGCTGGTCCGGCGAGGCGACTAGATAATCGGGTGGGGATGTTTCCATGAACCAGACTGACCGCGTGACGTCAGTGTACGTCACGCACGAACTCGGCTATCTCCGAAGTTGAATTCATACAGCCTGCCAGGGGTCGAAATTAGCGGTATCCCGATATCTGCGGGATAGTAGATTCTTGTGTTGGATACCAGATTTCAATGCTTGGTATCCCGCCGGGATAGAAAAAAAAAAACGTCAAAATCGGGATAGTGGTTGTTCAGTTATCAACTTTATACGGCAGCGCATCTGAGCGAGTGCGCGCGATCTGAGCGGGCGCAGGCCACTCTAGCGTTATACAGCAGGCATAGGATATTTGCAAGCACCAGCGTAAATGTGATGTGTATACATTGTATCAAGTGAACCAGACAATGCGTCTAGTCTAGACAATAGTGTACGTCTGCAGTGTACTGGGGAGGCGTATGTAAAATTAATGCGAGCGATGAGTTTCGAAGGCAAACAATTGTTAAAATTACTGGGGGGGGGAGGGATATTTCAGATGTATGTCAGATGAGCTAACAATACATGTTCGTGGATCAAGCCCGGAAAGATTTTTTTTCAAAAACAATAATGCCAACAAACAGATTAGTTACATTGTTTACATGTGCACATTATACACGAGCATGTCGAGGTTGTTGATACTATATATTACTAGTACGCACAGACGGCAGGCGGTGGTTTGCAGGCCTGCACTCCGGAACCGGCAATTGATAATATTTCGTTGGGTACATAAATTCGAGGATTGAATTCCACGAAATCAACGAAAATTAGAACCCCCACGAAAAAAAAGGATTTTACAGTAAGTCACTGTAGCGGCAAAGCACGTCGTATTACTTACTGGTCATGCAAGCAGCAGTAGAGTCTCGTCGCACCACTCGGGTTTAACCGTGTCATATTGTTTTTAACGTTTGGAAAAACGATATACATTTTATACAGGGTGGAGCTAAATAAAAGCTTCCCTACGTTATGACCAAACGTGGTTTACGTAAAACACCTCTCCGTGATGTACTTTATCATTTGCATAGCTTCCTGTCTCCCCATATTCTGTACACCATCTAGCACATCCAGAGAAGTGTTGCTGAAAGGAGGTGTTGATCGTAACCGCTGAGCGCCAATCTTGCGCGCAGTTCCGCGGCAAGGCGCACGCGACCGCGGGAACGTCCTATGAAAGTATACAGCGCTGGCAGCTATGGATCCGTGCGCCGAATGCATAGGCCGGCGCAACCTGGCTCATACTGCCACGACACAGTCTGCAATTTTAGCACGAGGGACTCGAGGGGCACGACATTTGGGACGTCGGGAGGAACTCGCGACTTAGATGGGGAGGTCGTCCAGAATGGGGAGGGCGGCAGCGAAGCTTTTTGATATCGCCGTGGTCCTATTCCAGTCTGTGCTCTTAGCTTTTTCACTATAAGCTTCCAAAACACTAATAAACAATGGACCATTATTTAATCACTGGAAAATATTGATAACATATTAACATAACGAAAATAGTCACGCCCGGAATTGTGGCGCCGATTACTCTTTCAAATCATACCCTGTTTAAGAATGCGCGCATTGCGCGTATGCATATCCCAGGAGGCTCCGCCCCTCACTTAAAAATAACTGCCTACATTGTGGCAGTGTATCCTGAGCTGTACGAAGGAGTTAGTATTTGATTTTCGAATTTTTTCGATGAACCAGCAGTAAAGGCGAACGTGCAGCCAATTCTCAATAACAGCTTACTTCATTAGGCATGAATATATAGTGATGCCTAATCATTTCCGCCTGAAGAGCTTCCTATCTTCTGTATATATACTAAACAATTAACCTTACTGGCCATCTCTATCATCTATGTGACCTTTCTTATATCAATATCACCACTAGTGTGCAAATGCCAGGACGTTATAGCACTATGCCGCTTTGCTAATCCGGAGGGTGCGGCGAGCTTGAAACTAAGATCCTAAAAATCGTTCACACTAGCCAGCAGGGCTCAGTGAGCCTGGTAAAATGCTAGCTAGCCCTTAAAAATATCTCCAGCACGGCCTTACTTTGATCTGAGTGCCACAGGCGCGTGCGTGACGCAAGTGAGCGAATAATTTTGGCGCTCATTCTGCGGGGGGGGGGGAAAAAAAGACCACGGGGGTGAAGGTGG